TTTCAGAGCATGCTCGGTTGAGTTCTCGGGGGAACAAAGGAATATATATCACTTTCACTCCCGGCAGCTCCTTTTATTAACTTGGTAGTTTTACATAGGTATCTACCTATATCCAATTGACCGTCAAGTATAAGCGACCAACACCCTAGTGCTTAGGTTACAAGCCTTATATGGTTACATAGGTAAATACAATACTATTGGCTGTGCGTACCTAGAGCGTGACCTAGCGATCCAGCGATGCTATTGGCTGACGTTGGCGTGCCTAACTACAGCATGAAGCAGCGAAGCTATTGGCTGTCGTGGCGTGACACAGCAATACAGCGATGTACTCCCACATATTGCTAAACAAAATACTGAATTGCATTAAAAGAAGGGCCACACTCCCACAGCCCCGACTCGCCAGAGTGTGTGCCTGCGTGTGTGTGTGTGCTTGTGTGCAGGCGTGTGTCCGGCCCAGCTGGTCTCTGGGTGCAGAGCCAATGAAAGGCCAGCACTGAAGGGGGTGATCAAAGATGCTGGGTGCACCTAAGGGCCTTGACCCATGGAATATTTGTGAGGATTCAGAGCTTCAGGTGCTCCCTCTTTCCCCTCCCCATTTCTTGTCCTTGCACTTCCTCAAGGCACCAGCTGCACTCTGCCTGTGTTTCCGGGTGCTGCAATCTTTCCTTTATTGAGGAACAGCCCATTTCAGGGAGAGAAGGATTCTATCAGAGATCCTGCACAGGCCATGCCCAACCCCAGTGCAATTCCGGACGGAGGGAAGAATTCCCCCAGGAAAAGCAGGAATGCCCCTCTGCAGGGGCCGGTCTTCTTCCAGGCTGCTTCCTCCGCAGAGGGGCTGCCCTGCCCACCATTCCTGCCCGGGGATGAGAGCGGCACTGGTCACCTCTGGGGTGGCCAGAAACCTCTTCCACTCCACCTTCCTTGCACTTTAGGGGTGCTCCCTTGCTGGTTCCCCTCATGAGGAAATAGCAGCAAAAACCTTTTCCTTTTCAAAGTTAAAGAACTCAGGATGGGCAGTCAATTGAATGGTGTTTTGACCGGTCATTCTGGGATGGCACCGTCCCTTCATCTCGTCTCAGAGCCTGCCCAGCGCATGTTGCAGCTCTTTTCTGGATCTGTCTGGGATCAAAAGGCACCTGAGAGCCCCCTTCCCCCTGACCCCACCAAGATTCAAAAGGGAAGCAGTCATGAACATCCCTTTATATTCAATTTCTGCTTCTCTAAACTGAAAGTAGACTGCTTCTCCCTCTCCAGGATCTGCTGCAGCGTCGCCTGGAGAGTCTGAGGGATGAGAGAGGAAGGATTTTGGCATGTAAAGCAGAGGCAGAAAGGGAGAAGCAGGCGCTGCTGGTAAGTGTCCAGAATGTGTCATGGAAGGGAAGGAGCACTTCAGCCAGGATGGGTCACATGGAAGAGAAAATGCAAGGGAATCGAGAGCCTAGGGTAGACCTTCCCTGCAGAGCACGTGACATTGTTCAAAGCTGCTGAACCTATTCTGGCAATTATGCAAGAGGGGCCATTCCGAGAGGGGGTCCCTGAGCATCCCTCGCAAGACTGACCCCGTTTCCGGCTCCGGCTGCCCATTCCCGCCTTTCCACACTCTCCTTCTTGCAGGAGCAAACAAAGGCAGAGTGGGAGGAGACGGTGGCTCAGTTCAGGCGCTTGCATCAGTTCCTGGAAGAGCAAGAGAAGCGTCTCCTGGCCCGGGTGGACCAGCTGCAGGAGGAGATTGCCAGGAAAGCGGAGGACCACCTGGCCTGCCTTTCCAAGGAACTCTCTTCCCTTGAAGGTATCATGCAGGAGGTGGAGGAGAAGAGCCGGCAGCCGGCCACTGATCTCCTGCAGGTAGGAGGGGGCAGGAGCGCCCACATCCCCCAAGGAGGAGACTCAGCCAGACGCTGCTCGCCTCTGCGTGTGTGGAGGGAGG